AAACACTCCCCGTTTTTTTTTTTACCTTATTTTCCAGCATTAAAAGTAAAGAAAATGGAGTCTGGCGTGGTCATAGCGGACAATAATTTATTTATGTACATTTATATTACACAATTTACAGGGGAAACCGGGGGGTGGTCACGCGAGACTCAGCAGGACGTTGAACAGCAGACGAAGCACAAACTGCCACGATGCACCAGACTAAACGCGCAGCACACACAACAGTATACGAACACACGCACATGTAACGTTGTCGTCGATCACGACGATCTCCATCTCTGTCACCGAAGACGCGGAACAGCAACACTGGTTTTGGGAAGCACCTGCAAATTGGATAAATTACTCGAGTTTTTACAGCGGAGCTGTTAAGGACAAGTTTCCCCAAGATCGTGTCCCCCGCAAAGAAATGAAGACACCGAACTCTGAACACCTACCGCCATCTATGAGCAATGGCGTCAAGCCACGTATCTGATTGCCGCCGTCGCTCATAGATGGCGGCAGCCTTTCCACTCTGGCTTGCCGACTTGCGGCCGGCCATTACTTTATATTGTACAGCTCCACTGGTATTCCTGCTTCGCCAGAGTGGAAAGGCATTTACCTTTAAGGTTTTACGTTATTACAAAAGGGAGGGTTACAATAAAACGCCGATCAGGATGACAAAACAATAAGAGAGGTTCGAGCACAAAGCGCAACGGCCACTTGGTCCTTTCCTTTCTCTTCTTTCGTCTTCGTACTGAGGTTACATAGTCTGTTCTACTTCGAGGGGGAACCCAGCTGGTTTTTGATGTACCATAGAGCTGCAATCACACCGCTCATACATTATACAAAGGCACGGAGTGTTCCTGCAGGCATGAAGACAGCATTATCCGCGACCTCAAGCAGCTTCGAAGCGTGTTGTCTTCGTGAATAAGCACGCTTCAAACCTATCTACAGACTGTTTTTGTATGACCAACCTGACTAGACCGTCGTACGAGAAAAGGCTCAGAAAGTGTCTCCAGGCTTTCTTTTGCATTATCAGTGTGATGGCGGCTTTAGGAAATTCAGTCTCGAACACTTTCACGACGATTTCATCCGCTATCTCAATTGCGTTCTTATTTGTTTCAGCAATTTCAGGTAGAATAAAATTTTGGGCCTAGTCATTCATCTAGCTCTCACCGTACACTCTCAAGAAAAAAGGGTGTAAAAGGGTGTATCGTTACACCCTTTGTTCCGCATAATACACCCCAAAACTTCAACTCGACGTACAGTGCCCTACAGTCGAACAGACGGCCCGAAATTTTACGAGGGGCTTGATAGCCGTCTGGTACAACTTATTAAAATAGTTAATGTACGTGTTACTAAATACAAAAAAAAAAAAAAAAAAATTCGGGTTTTCTTGGTTTTACTGTAGAAACACTCGGTGTTTTCTTTATGTGGTCTTTGATACGCACTTTAGCTATTTAAAAAGTTACATCGCATGGTTATCAAGCCCCTTGTAAAATTTTGGGGCCGTCTGTTCGACTATAGGGCTCAGTCCGTCGAAATGAAGTTTAGGGTGTATTATATGGGACGAAGGTCGTAAAGATACACCCTTTTACACCCTTTTTTCTTGAAACGGTAGTTTGCAGACATCTGTTTATAAAGGGCGTTGCGGGAAAGTTGACAGTCTGATTTGCTCTCCGAGTGTATACATAAACCAGAATTAAGGTAAGGAGAAGTAGAATCGATGGCTCCGGCGAGTTTATGGCCAACGGGCAAATAAGACCTCGGTAACAGTCACAAAATTACCGAAGAAAAGTGCTGTATTTACTCGAGTAAACGACGCGCTGTTTACCAACAAAGTATGTGGGTTCACTTTCTCGCAGATGACGCGGAGAGCCGATCGCCTCGATCAAAAGCACGATGCTCGCGATTTACAGGACACAGTCTTCACGCAAAAACGCTATCTGCGCTGAGAAGCTTCAGTGGCGCCCTCTTACGTTTTTTTTAATTTTTATTTTCACGTCACGAACGAAATTTTCTTTCCCGTGATTGGCAGGACTTGCCTCGCCGTGAATCGGCGCTTGGGCATGCATTATCATAATACAGGAAGCTATGATTTGGCCAATCGCGAACTTTGACCACAGCGATGCTTGTGGTCGAGGACGTCGTTAACTTGTGCGGATCGCGTATTTTTAGAGAATCGTGACCCGGGCCTCGGTGATTCGCTATTTTTTTTTGTTTTCGTACTCGGACTGCAATGATTGGCTGTATGCATATGTGTACGCGTTGCTAAAATAAAGTAACTAAATATTGTTACTCGTTACACAACTCGTTACTACACTCTTAGAAATGCATGCGCGTCTACTTACCTGCAAAACGCTGGAAGAGCCAATCTCTGCGATCTACGAAATCAGCACAGCGAAGGATGAGGCGGAACATCCGTTTAGACCTAAAAATGAAGTCGGCGCTGTGGCATTACGCAATGCAAATCATCATGCTTGCATTGCGTAATGCCACAGCGCAGACTTAATTTTGAGGTCTAAACAGATGTTGCGCCTCATCATTCGCTGACCTGATTTCGCAGATCGCAGAGACTGGCTCTTCGAGTGTGTTGCGGGTAAGTAGACGCGCAGGTATTTCTTAGAGTGTACGATTCACAAGGAACGTCTTACCTCAGCTTGAAAGTGAGGCATCTTTTGTTGTTACTCTTAATGTGTCCTCTTTGTGAAACAGTAGCAGCTTTCAATGTTTACTTTCGTTAATATTTCCTTTTTTTTTAACGCGTTCATTCAGGGATAAGAGTGGCTATAATGACATACCTTGGGTACAATATTTGATGGTATATCTAGCGTCTTCTCGTCGTGAAAATTACAGGCCACAGCTCGGGTGACAATGTTGTACAGTGTGCTCAAACTGGTAAATACAATGCAAGAGCAGTGACTTGAGGGACTGCGTGTGGGTCATCTGTCGGCACAGCCTCCATAGGTGACACGGTAGTTCTTTTCTGGCTTTTACACTCTCATACGATCGCAGTGCTGTGCACAACTTATCAAAGAAGGCTTTTAATCGCTATAGTTTAATTTAATATGTTTGCTCGTACCGGGTTGTTCACGAAATGCTTAAAAACGGGCTTCTTTTTTCAATAAACGAGAGTGTTCTTCCAGAGGTGAAAGTCGTCTGTTTCTCGCGGTCTGTTTCTCTCGTCAACCGCGAGGAGATGTAACAGCTGGTGGCCGCCACCGCCACCATTAGGATAAGCAGGTTAAACTTAGCGTTCGTGTTATTTTTGTCACGTTTGAAGAGTAGGCAGTTATCGGTCTCGCGTCGCTAACAAAGCCTCAGCTCATTATGCTGGCTCAAGAGCTTGGCATAACGATGCTAAAGGCAATGCGCCAACCCGTAATTGTTAACGCAATATCCAAATGCGGACCTGAAGGCGACGAAGTAGAAGAATGCTGGAAGGCGGTCTCCCTTTAATTAAGAGGGCACAAAGTTGAGTTAGGGGTAAAGGAATCGCAACTTCGCAAACTCGAAGAAAGGGCTGCCACGTTTGAGGTGGCCACACGTCGCGAATAGTTTTACATGAGCGTATTAATTCCCAGCCTTTTTCTGCTGGCAACGACTTCAGCCTGTAACTCGTGAACCTTGAAAGGACGTGTACTAGTGCAGGTGTTGGGAAAGAGACTTGGTCTCAAAGACTTAGTGCGTTGCTTCCAAAGCTGGGTTGCTGACGTCCTCGCAAGAATTATTGTTGAAGAGGCGCGTAACTAACGAAAAAGTCGAGTTTCAACTGGGGCGAAAAAGCAGCTTGTCCACGGAAGACCTAAGATTGAAATTTCGTGAGTCAAGGCGCAGCATGACGGGTCATACATTGAGTTTGCGTGCAAAGTCATAATCTTTCTAGAAGAATGGCCAAAGAGCGATAACGTGCATGATAACAAACAAAGTGTAAGTGAACAAATTGCATAGAACAGTCCTACGGAACTCCCTCTGAGTAGATGTGCCTGTGTATTCAGGATGAGTCAAATGTAACACAGAAAATGGCACCTAACTCGGCTGATGAGTACTGCCGTCCGCTTCCCTCGTTAACCGACGGGAAAAGTAACAACTTCTAATTTCAAAGTGGTAACCAATGCGTGCTTTAGCGATAAAAAACAAACAAAGCTGTTACCTCTTTATTTTTTGTTGTTTCTGGTTTTTTTTTATCAACAAATTTGCACGTCAACCGGGCAAGGGCAGCGCCTCACAATAAACGTGCCACGCCGACTTATGAAGGATGATAACAGCAATGCAGTTCTAGTCAAATTGTACACCGAATAACAAAAACACTTTGAAAATTGAAACTGAGGGCGTCAAAGAAAGAAACAAAGAGGACACATGGTATTTGTATCGGGGAGTAGCAACAGTCACAGGAAGGGCAGCTTCAGTTTTTGCAGTATCGTCGCTTTCCTCGTTAAGCGGCTCTGTTATCAGTTTCAGTCACTGCTCGCGCATTTATATTGAACAGTTTAGCACAACACTGTATGCACCCCCCCCCCCCCCCACACACACACACACTCCCCAGACGTAACCAAATACCGATACTTGTTTCTTTATAAAAAACAAACAAACAAAAAAAAAAACATCGAAAATACGTTAGTCGCGCATTCTCTTAAAAGTAATTAGGTCGTTTTTCTTCACCTGAATCGAAACTAGGTACAAGTAACGCCTGACGTACAAGTCTGGCTTTATGTGTGTTCTGCAAAAGAGCAGACGACAGGGCCTCGTTTATAACTAGTGCGTCTATTACTGGAGTAAAGACGGTAAGCAACTGCTTCCAGTCCGTATGGTAAGTACACACCTGACGTAAGTCGATCCACCGGAGTCTGTACGAGCAATACCACTTAGAAGAAAAGGCCTGTGGATGATGTCATCTTGAGAGGATCCATGACCTTGCGAATTGATCCACCATTGATGACGTTTGGGGGGAAATGGGGGGGAGGGGGGGGGGGAGGGGTTGCGCAGGCCTTGCCTTCTAGGTGCTATCGGTACTGGCCCATTTATCCGTGGTGTCCGTGGTGTCCGTGGTGACCGTGGTGAACGTGGTGGTGGCCGTGGTGTCCTCCTCCGATGCCGTACGAGGGCACGTGCTTCCCGTTGGCCGACACGTAGGGCGCGGCGGCGGGCAGGCTGGTCTTAGTTCCGTGCTCGTTGGTCTTGACCATGGCCCGGAAGCCGAACTTATCGGCCACGTAGACAACGTATCGGTGGCGTCCGTCCACCTCGCCCAGGTAGTAGGAGCCGTGCACGCCCTCGTGGCCCGTGCCGGTCTCGTGACGCCCGTGCACGTTGCCCCAGGCGTCTTGGATGTCGTAGCCGAAGCTGTAGTGGCCGTGGTCCTAAAAAGAATGTTTCGTGATCGCTTTTTTTTTTTTTTTAAAATGAAGGATGTGTTTTACGGTAGCCTCTTATGTACTGACAAAGCCTGGCAGATTTCCACGAGAAGCGGCCGTCCAAATGGAAAAGGTGGAGCGGCAGGCAATGAATGACAGGAGAGCCACGTGACTGGCGTCCCGCTGCGGCGAGACCCCGAAACACACTTCTTTCGAGAAAACAAGCGTATTTCGGGTCCTCGCCGATGAAAAAGCTGTGCGCTGACGTTCAAAGTTCCCGAGAAATGGCTCTTTGATGCTCTGTGCTACCAGGTCCTTCCGCTCCAAGGCTATGTATGGTTCTAGCGATGCTTACTCGAATTTTGGCAGCGTCTCTCCTGCGGTTGAAGTTATGGTAACTGACAGGGCCAGAACGTCAGGGGGTGTTTTTGGGATTCTCTAGCAGGCGTTCGTTACCTTCTACCCTGCTTTGGTAGAGGGTGAACGCTTGAAAATCGAAAAACGCCGAAGCGTTGTTGAAGGTAGAAAGCTTTCGACGGAGGCGGGACAATTTAAATACTTTTTTATGCTTTTCTAATACTCTCAGTGTTTAGAGGGTTTTTTTAGAAAAAAAAAGTTCCATGTAACGTGGAAGTGTAATTTACAATAACTTTAGCGGATTTACGTCCAGTTAAATTTACCGAGAAGGGTTCCGCCAGTAAATTTTTATAAATTGAAATCGTGCAGTTATACGCCAATTGAAAATTTCCCCCTGAATTTAGCGGAAAGACGATTCTGACTAAATGTAGCGGGGCATAAGTCCGCTAACACTCAGCTAAACTTAGCGTCATTGCCGAGCTCAGAAAGGCTCATACAGGCACACTCAATGCAGCTCAAAACTCTCTGCACCTTCTGTGCATCTCGTCTTTCTTTATTCGAAGGATTGCAACATAATTGTTTATTTTGTTGTCTTCGTTGTGTTAGGGTCCTCGTACTACCCCAACTGTAAACTATGAGCTTTGCACGCTCTGGCACATGTCAAGTACACCCACGTTAACTTTTGTTTCGCTCTGTGTCTGAGCGAAAGGAACGTTACATTTTAAAGAAAGGCACCTGGCACGTCCAAGTAAAGAACTAGGAATTCTATGTAGACCATCAGGAAGATCTTTCGAAGTGGAAACAAAACCTTGTATTACAAGACGCATTTCTTTTTTGCTTTGTTTTTGGTAAGCGAGTGTGAAATCACGAGCACCTTGGCCCAGAGTCCAACTTTCCAACTGGAGATCTAACGACTGTAAGTTTAGCTCTAAGTAACCGAGGCGGTCTGTAAGTCAAAGCAGTGTGTCAACTCCAAGAAGACCGTTTAAGTTTGAATATAGCCTTGATATTTGAGATATTGTACGTATCCTTCTATTATTTTGATTGTTTCTCGTAATGTAATACAAGCTAATAGTGTAAAAAAACAAAAAAACAACAACAACAACAACAGTGAGTTTTATTTATAAACTTTTGCTTCGGATACATTGAACTCCTGTTTTTACAAGAAACCGCTTCTTCAGTCTCTGAAGCAGCGAGGTAATTTCGCGAAACATCGTAGCCCTGATAAAGCTTCCAGGAGGTTCATTTTTAACGTGAAAGTCTGTTATTCGAATTCGAAAGAATTCCGTTTCGTAAGCAGAAAAATTATAGTGTTGATGGCTCTCCAGAAGAATATGATTCTTATTATCGGCCAATGTAAAAAACACAGAACAAATACGTACATTTTGCTTCCTGTACTGCTTGCTGTGTCCTCCATGACCTCCGTGGAATCCTCCAGAAACGGCTACTACCCCAAGAAGAACGACGGACAACTGCAAACAGAAACAAGTTTTAATGACAATAAGTTTTGTTTTTTATATTTCTTTCTGTAAAAAAAAAATAATAAAAAGACAAGAAAAACAAAGCAAGGAAACCAAGTCCCATAACACCTTAAAGGCCGACGTACAACCTCGGCTTTCTGCAGGGCAGACGATCCTCTTAGTGCTCCCCTCTCCTAAGCTGCGAGGGGAGCCAAGTTGGGCCAAGGTAAAAAGTGGAGAGGATATAGGAAAGGGGGAGGCGGTAGGAAGTGGAAAGCGCGAAGTGTACGTCGGCCTTTAAGCTCGCGCCGAGAATTCCTCGGTGAGACAAACAGGAATAAGTTCCTCTCGTTAAACGTCTCTGGTTCCTATCCGCGACTCCAACTAACTATAGGTGGCGCCACTCATTTTCCAAGATGGCGGGTTTAGTGAGGGTCAGAGATGCGTGCCGCTGTTGAGCCCGTCTAGTGTGCTGGCTTCACTGAGCGACATAAATTATTTCTGGTAATACAAGGAAGCTAATGTCTTATGAGCGCAGGTTACCCCTTTAACCTGAAAACAAGAACGGTGTTTAGCGTATTTTTTACGGAAGGATGCGCGTTTTAATTCTGGAGCGAAACCGAAACTTACCTCTATTTTAAATTTAATTTCTCGATATAGGCCTTAATTTCGAATTATTTCACGACTCCAGATGTGTCTCACATCGTAATTATTTACTTAAAAAAGTTGTTCGCGGAAACTTTATTTTGTGACATATTGCTCGATCCAGGGTGATATTTGTAGTTGCTGAAAAAGTCAGTGCTGATATCTGTGCGTTCTCGCAGCCTTTCTCTCGCTCAGATAATTGTCATGGGAAATAATGACAATTATTCCAGCACAAGAATAAGAAAATAATTCTAATTTTTATAATATGTCCACGAAACGTATAAAGTAATAAACGCTGCTCTCACTGCAACAACCCAAAGACGGAATCCGAGTCAGACAGCTGAAGTCTGTGTGTGTGTGTTTATAGCACCGCGTGACGTGTAGGACTTCATATTACATCCATTGTTTGACTGTTTGTCTATCTTGACAACTATGTCAGAGTTTTTCATATGCTAAAAAGAAAACAGAATTATACCTTTCTGGAAAGACTAATATTGTTAAATAGCGTATTCTCGCGATCTTGGCGTTAATTGGAGGCATACTTTGCCGCGATTTGTATTAATAATAATAATAATAATATTAAAAGTCACATATTTGAATAAGTAATTCTTCAAGTTCTAATATAATGTGTTGCTTATGATCTAATTTTAAACGTGCGAAGAAATATGACAATAAAAACTGTGCTAATTATCATCACTGGTTTCAGTTGCTGCATTTTAATTACCAATAAAAAATAGTCTAAAATCAATGAAAACATTTTAGCGAATGTGAGAAATCCATGTAAAATTACATTAATTGTGAATAAAGTATATTGTGCTCAAAGTCGCGACTTTTGACAACCGGCGAAACGCCCAAAGTCGCCGCCAATAACCTTCCAAACAAAATGCCCAAAAATAAAAAAAATAAAAAAAGAAAATGAAAAAAATAACCATTTCGTCGTTTACCCTGAGACTGGGGGGGTTTTTTGAAGAGCAGAAGAAACAGAAAAAACAGACAGGAGACCTGTCTGTTTTTTCTGTTTCTTCTGCTCTTCAAAAAACCCCCCCAGTCTCAGGGTAAACGACGAAATGGTTGACTTCCACCAGCTAGCCTGTACTTTGACTCTTTTCTCGAAAAAAATAAAAACGCTTTTTTTTAATTATTAGTTTTTTCATAACATTTATTTACTTTTGTAATTGCTCGCCGTTGTTTTGCCAATCTCAACCTTTCCAGTTCGAAGGAACGCCTACCTGCTTGCACGTCTGGTCACTGCAGCACGTTTCGTTGGCGTTGGAAGCCGGTGAAACAGTTGTGAGTTTTAATATTGCGTATACGAGCGAACTCAAGCCCTGTGTGTTTGCGTTAGCTTTACGTGTTCTACACTGCGCGTGCGCGGAGCCCGAAACTGCGGTCTTGTATGGCGCATGGCGATGGGGCGCACGCACAACGCGGGGCACGGAACTCTAACGCAAACGCATACCGCTTGCGTTTGCTTCTATGCGCAATACTAAAACTCTCCAGTAAGGTACAATCCCATACCGGCTGCAGCACTACGTTGGGACAGTGAAGAGTCTTGTTTACATTCGGAAACGACATTTCGCGAGCCATGATCGCGAGCAGTTCCGCCATGCCCGCTGAGCAGGAGAGTCGGGGGACCCTCACTAGAGCGCTTCCCGTTTCCGCCGCGGGAGGGCGAGCGTCGAGCTGGAGACGCGAATAGTCACAATCAGGTTGTCGAACCGAAATTTTTATCGGTTCGGTTCGGGTTCGGGCTCATCGCTTTCGGTTCAGTCCCTGTTCAGTTCCGGGGAGCAAAAAGAACAGTTCAAGCCGGTTCGCTACGGTTTGAACCGCTAGACTGAGAATATATCTTTCTGCGTTATTTTCTGGATAATAGGCACTATTTACACCGTGAAATGAATTAACTATACAGTTATTTATTATTATTATTTTTTTTTTTTTAGATTCGCAGCTGGGGAAAATACGCGTCGTGGGGTGAATTCTGTTTTGCTTATCTTTGTATTGAAAAAAAAAAAAAAAAAAATCGCGCGCCGAGGAGGACGACGCACGGAGATCAAGTCCCTCGACGCGCGCGCTTGAACCAATCAGCGAGCTACCGGACGTGACGTGTCTGCTCTGTTCCGGTTCGGACATGTTTTTGCTTTTTTTTTAATTTTCGATCTACAAGGAAGGCGAAAAGGCAGAAGGGTCGAGAGATTCATGCAGTTGCCAAACGTGACTTGAAGCATTTCAGCGTGGAGAAAGGCAAGCCGATTGGAACATCCAACTGTGAGAGATGTTTTATGTGCGCGTACGACGGTGTAAAACGTTTGCGCGAAAACCGCCGTCGAACTTGCGCAGTGTGTTCCGACCTCCGACTGTGCGGGGGCGATCACTCCCAATCTGATTTTGTGCATTCTTTGCGTGCACGCCACCACCACGGAGTACAACAGTTCTCCCTCCAAAACACTACCGCACAAGCTGCGTGTAGTGTTAAAGGTACGGACACGCGGGCGTATCACCGTGCTTTGTTTGCACAAAGACGCGGCAAAAGGAAACCTCCTGAACCTGCCCGCGGTCCCTGCCTTTCGCATATGCTGCATACAACCGGAGTGTAAACGTATATATAATTATGGCCGTTGTCCATTCGGTAAAGACGGTTGTCTCCAAGCGCTTATGCAATCACGAAGGCAAGTCAACGACAATCGTACGAAGCAGACGAATAAAAAATATTCCGTGTTCTGTCGACGAATTCGCGAGGTTTTTCGAGAAGACATCGACGTCGGGTGGCCCTGTGTGACTGCTTCATCTTTTTTTTGAGGCCGGCGTCGACGTGGACCGCCACGCGCGTTTATTGCTCAGTGTGAATGCGCCTTTAGGCGTCCGTTTCCGCGTTGAACGGCGTCGGCGTCACCGTCGCCGTCGGCGTAACCACGGTCATTGCATTATGGGTCGTCACGATTTCCACGCTAAATCTGGCGGGGAAATTGAATTGGTGTTGAGGTCATGTGACGACAGGTTTACCGCTAAATTTAGCGGGGAAACTGAACGCGCAGTTTTGCATTATGGGACGTTACAGTCCTACACACCAATTCATTTTCCTCGCTAAATTTAGGGGGGAAATTATTCGGTGTTAAATTCACGTGACGTAAATTTTTTCTCTAAATCTAGCGGAGAAACTGAATTTGTTCATGGGTGATGGTACACGCAGTCATGTGACGTCATGTTCCCCGCTAAATTTAGCGGGGAAATCGAACTGGTGCTGAATTAACGTGGCGTCAATTTTCCAGCTAAAATTAGCGGGCAAGTTGTGGGAGGTGGGGAGGGTATGGAGGTGGAGGAAAAGAGGGTACTCAGGAGGAGGAGGGGAACATACGGAGGACGAGGGTACGAAGGAGGAAGAGGAGAAGGGTGCAGAACCCGTATGTGAGAGTGATCTATATTGTTACATATATACATATTTCTTTCTAAATTGCTGAGAACTGTATAAGGCAAAATCCAAATACCCCAATAGCCGTGCTCTAATTTCGCATTATAGAGATTTGTGAACGTCTTTCATTTTTCTATTGTTGGTACAATCCAGTTTTGTTTTAGGTACAAAAAGTATGAAGTTGCGTTATTTAGTTTCGACACATCAGGAAAATGAAATCAACATAAACATACAAAACGTCGTGTTTATACGACTCAACATCCCCTTGTTTACCAGTTACATATATTTTATCCGAATCAAAATGCCATAAATTGAGGTAAGTCGCCTAAAATAGTCGTGATTGGTACAACTTTGTGTCGCAGTATTGAAAGCTAAATCGTGGTTGTGCCCTTGAACTGAGGAATTAATTACAGTGCATAAAATCATTAAATGGGCACCTCGTCGCCATATATATTATGAACTATGGTTTGCAAAATACGTTCCACATTATGCACATACATGAAGACAAAACAACTGAGCTAAAAGCAATAACATATTTACAATGTCTCGAAAGCTTTAAGACAAGCCCTTTCAGTCTATCTTTTATAAAAAAAATACTAAGCGGCAATCACAATGCTTGTTTTTCTAACCAAGATTGTTCACACTCAGCACCGTAATGTAAGGCGACGAATCACGCAGAAAGGATTGGCCGAACTTTTTTGACCAGCACCTTCGTACTCGGATGGAATTTGGTCTAAAATAGCGCTTACCTAAGTGAACATTTTTCTGTACAAGATAAACTGGCATACCCTGACCTGACAGCTTTAGGAGCCATAGATGAGCTGTTCTAGTGCACGTTACCACTGAACAACTCAAACACGTACGGCTCCCCCAGGTACAGCACCAAATTTACCCTTAGTGACATCAACGCGCAGAGGGACCACACGGGAAAAAGCTGCGTTTTTCAATCTTCCCCTTC